GGTCTGGGCGGGCCTGGCCTGGTCTGCTTGCGGCGTCTCCGGCGGGTCGGGGGCGTGACTCGTGCGGGGGGTGGTGGCGACGGCGGCTCGCGTTCTGCAGCGCGGCGACGGGGGCTTCGCGAGCCCGTTTCGGGCTCGGCTGGGCCAGGGGTGGCCCGGTTTGCCCCTGTGCTGCGTCCGGCCGGATCCCGCCGGGGGCGGTGGAGGATGTCCCCTCCCGCGAGGCTGCTGATGTTGCCGCTCCTGGTTCCCGATTGCGTCGTCTTGTTTCCATCGGCCCCGTTTCGTTTGCCATGGTGAGACGGCGATGGAGACTGCTCGACCGTGGTGGCGCAAGTTGGTGGGCGGTGTGTTTGGTGGCGCGGGATGGATCGTCTGAGGTCGTGGTTGGTTGGTGGGCGGGAGAAATCCTTGTCGGCCGGGCCGGAACCGACGCGGTGACGCTCGTGGGCGCCGCCGTGCCTTCCTGAAGGGCGTCGGGCATACCCCTTCCACCTCACCCCTCGCGTACCGGGGGAAACCCTAGGACATGTCCGGGCAACAGCGTCGTCATCGTCGCAATCCTTCTTGAGGGTGGTGTTTGGTATGCGGCGGTCCGGAATGCTAGGAGCGTGGTGGTATTTTCCGGTGGGCGCGGCGGTTGCGGGTCCTCATCGTTTTCGTTGATCCGCCGGTGTTGGCATTATTTTCTCTTCAGTTCCTTTTTTTTGTTTCTTTTGGGCTTGCTTGTGCTGTGGCCCCAGCATTTGTATCGTGTGGTCGTTGCTTTATAATATAAAGCGGGGGGCAACCCTTTTTCGGAGAGATGAGTGCAGTTGTTGTTGTTGTTGCTGCTGCTGCCGCCGCCACTGGCAAGGGGATCCTTACTATTATTACTGGACTGCTGACACCATATTTTCACTTTTGTCAAGTGTTTCATATGCTCTATGAGCTGTGCAAATCCTTGGCTCTTGTTGTTGTCCACAACAAATCCTGCTACTGTTTCCAATTTGCTATTCTCTGAGAGCCAAGTCTGTAGCTTGTGCATTCTCCGGCCTCCTACACCTTGTTGGAGCTTGAAATTTCCGAACAGATGTATCAGGCATGGCAGCTCCATAACTTGTGTCGGCAGAATCTCTATCTTGGTTCTTCTTACATCCAGCGTCTCCAAAAGTTGAAGCTTCTTAATCTCTTTGGGGAGCATCGTAACCTTAATAGCGGCCCCAAGGCTTAGGTACCTGAGCAATAACAGGTTGCTGCATATCTCCCTAAGATGCTTGTCCTCCAAGTGGTTACCGCATTCTTCTAGATCCAAAACCCGCAGCAGTTCATATTTGGAGAAATCCAAGACAGAGTCATGTGCCCTGCCGAAGATTGTCAGAGATCGGACAAGAGATAGATCATTAGCCACTCTGGCACTTGCTTCATGGAGGGAGAGCCAACGGATTTTACTGGGTGGGGGTGGGGGGGCCAGCTGATCATATAACAAGGTAATGAAGTTGTCACACTTGGACATGTGCAGGATGAACTCGAGCATCATGCCGTGAGTATGGTATGTCTTCACCTGATCTGTGATGTTTTTGCTACTGGCATCTGTACGCTGGATGATGCTCCGGTTGAGCAGCTCTTTGAAATTGCCGATAGCAGCATCCAGAGCATTACACATATAATCTCCTGGGATAAACCCTTCAGCGCACCATTTCCTTATCAAGCTTCCTCTCCTGACTGTACGGCCACTAGGGTAGATACCTAGACATAGCAAGCATGTCTTGACATCGTGTTTAACAAGGCTGGTGTAGCTTTGGACAAGTACACGCTTCATTCTTGCTAACATCTCCTTCGTTTCCAGGTGTGCTCCCAGGTTGTGGCACAATGTTGCCCAGTTTTCACGCGTCGGATTACCTGTGCTTTGCAAGTACCGGGCTGTAGTAACAAGAGCAAGGGGTAAACCATCACACTTCTTCAGTGCTTCCGAGCCAAGCTGATCCTCTTTACCGATTGGCGGATCATCGTCTTGGAAAGCTTCCTTGAAAAACAACTGCCTCGAGTGTCCATCAGGAAGGCTTTTCATTGCATACACATGATCATGGGCTGCTGAGCTGCTGCAGGCATTTGCTACTGACTGAATAGCCGTTGTCACCAGAACTCTGCCGTTCAACCCCACAAAGGCATCTTTAATATCATGCCAAAATTCTGTCCTCATGTCATCGAGTACGATGAAGAACCTACGAGGTACCAGGAGTACATGATCAGAATTAGCATGCAGAGATATGGAGTGGAGATTAAATTTGGAGTGATTTCATTTTATAGCTACAAAGATGCCAATAGTGAGTGAAGTCAAACTAGGAGAACTGTTGGACAGTACAAAAATATAAAAGATGCAGGCTGCTGTAAATCGAGACCAAAACATCAAACAGAGACCGAGTTGAGAAAATTACCAATGGTTGGCATTAGTTACCTCTTGGTTTGAAGGCACAATCTGAGGATTCGGCAGAACTTGCTGAGGTTACCTCCACCATTGGTGGATGTGGTGGGGATGCCAAGTTGCCGAAGAATCTCTTCGACAACATCGCTTGCACCCCTTTGATTGGCTGCACAAACCCAAGCCCTTACTTCATACTGGCTCATCATACTCTGGTACACATGCCTGACAAGGAGGGTCTTGCCTATGCCATCAAAGCCAACAACAGAGATCACCTTAAGCTGTTGCTGCTGCTGCTGTATCAGCTCCAGAAGTTCATCCCGGGGAGCGTCCATACCCACGGGGCTGCGAGCTGAAACGGTGTCGTCTATGGCCATCTCTGTTGTTGTCTCAGGTGCCGATGCCACTGCCGACGACGATGCTGACGGGAAGGTGCCTGCACCGATACTGGCGTTGTAATAAGTTTCTCTCAGCTTGGATGACTCTTGTGATATTTTCTTGAGCTCACGGATCGCCTTGGCAAACTCCTTCCGTACTGTCACCGTCTGCACCCGGTAGACAGCCTGACGGATCCACGTCGACGTCCCAGAGATGGTCACCCGGTGCATGAAGCGGTCGATGCAGTCCTCGATGGCATGCGCCAAGTCACGTATGATTTGGATCCAGGCCCTCTGCACATGGTCGCCGAGGGTGCCGCTCCTCCAGCGACACTCATCATCTTGCTGGATGGCGGCAGAAATTAACGCAAACTCTCTTTGGATGTAGGTGATGTCGTGCTCCAGGTTCTGTCGAAGCTTGTGATTTGCAGCTAAGAACTCCAAGAGCTTCGGCGCGATCCTACCCACAAAAGCGGTGGCCGTCGCAGCCTCCATCTCTGGTTGGAAGATCAAATCATGGAGTTTAGTGGATAGAGAAAAGAGGCCAGGAGGACACAGGAGCAGCCATGGCAGGATCAAGGTAGGTAGCTACAAGTACCTGCATAGAGAATACCTTAACATCCATGGTCAGTCATCCCGTCCACTCCTCCAATCTGCTGGAGCTATTTACTTGCATTACATATGATGCTAAGGTACCAAAATGCAAATTCTATTGTACCTGTGCATAGGCGATTCGGACAACGCATGGTGGTGGGCCCCACTTGGTTCTATCTTTCTCTTTTTTTTTGCCAAAAAGCCCATGTGAACCCTCTGAGCACTGAAAAAAAGCACAGAAGAATCTGACAGTGCGTGGTGGCAGGTCCCACATGGTTCTGTCTCGCTTTTTTTGTGAAGGCACATGTGTGGATCTCACGATCACTAAAAGAGCTCTCTTATTGCAGAACAATGCGAATATATATCATATAAAGGCAGGAAAGCAGGTTCCAAACGTAGTGAATTCGTGCATCAGCACCACTTTGTGAATGCACTTAGCCTAAATGGGACCCATCAAAATTCTCTAGTTTTGGTGTGGATGCACTATCTCAAAATACAATTGTAGAAGAAAGAGCAGCACATTAGTTAGACTAAAGGCAGAACATGGTTTTAGCACAAGTCAGTGCAATCATTCTAAAGGCAGCACTGATCCTGATGTGATCACTGCAAAATGAACGATCCGAGAGATATGTGTACCTGTAGGGGTGTACTCAGGAAATTCAGTCTCCTTTAGGAGCTCGACATGCCCTCACGTCTTGTTGGGTCGCCAGAAACTAAGTTCTGATTGATGGACCTCACGGAGAAGGATAAGGAGGAGCCGACGAGGCAATTGCTGGATCCAATCAGGATTACGGGGAAGAAGGATGATGACAGGATTCTTGAGGAGGATTACAACAGTTTCTTGCTCGACGATCCAACCACAGCCACAGGTGAGCGCGTGTGAAAAACCTGTCCGTCTGCTTAATTCTTCCAGCCTTAACTTGGTGGGTTCTTTAGCATCAACATCACTTTGTGAATGCACTTTAGCCTGAATGGGACCATCAAAATTTCTCCAGTTTTGGTGTGGATGCACTATCTCAAAATACAATAATTGCAGAAAGAGCAGCACATTAGTTAGACTAAAGGCAGAACATATTTTCAGCACAAGTCAGTGCAATCATTCGAGAGGCAACACTGATCCCGAGGCAACTGCTGTGAAATGGACGATCTAGATAGATAGAAGGTGTACCTGCATGGGGGAGCTCAGAAAGTTCGGGCTCCTTTAGGAGCTCAACATGCCATCACGTCTTGTTGGGGCGCCAGAAACTAAGCTCTGATTGATGGACCTCACGGAGAAGGATAAGGAGGAGCCGTCGAGGAAAAGGAGGGAGACAAGGAAGGTGCTGGATCCTGTCAGGATTGCGGGGAAGAAGAGGAGGAACAATGATGACAGGATTCTTGAGGAGGATTACAAGAATGTCTTAATCGACAATCCAACCACAGCCACAGGTTAGCACAAGCGAAAACCTCTCCTTAATTCTTCCGCTCAGTACTCTTAATTACTAACTAATCCTGCATGCTTTTCCTGTTTCAGTTTCTGATCCTGTTATTGAATCAAGTGCCGAAAATGAAGTCGAGCAATCTGGTGCTCAACTGCCAGTCCTTGAGGATATCTCGAGGCTGTTTGGTGAGTGTTGCTTGATCTATCTCCCTAGTTAGCTTTGCCTTGATTTCTCTTGATTTCTGTCTGTATATATGGCAGTACAGCATCGAACCCATGCATGTGCATAGGAACTAATCCATCCATTAATTATTGATCCGCACCCTGTCTTATCTTTCTTGTGTGCTCTTTGATTAATTAGATGGTTCGGTGAGTTCTTCATTGGGCGCCATGAGACCCCTTGTTGAGAAGCTTGGCATACTGCTAGCTCCTTCTCAGGAACACTACAAGAGGTTGCCCAAGAGGATCAAGGAGGGGGTGCACCTTCTCAAGGATGATGTTGAAGTGATAAGCTCCTACCTTGATGAACTGTCAGAGTTGGAGGACCCTCCCCCGGTGGCCATATGCTGGATGAATGAGGCACGCGATTTGTCTTACGATATGGTAGATTACATTGACAGCTTATTATTTGTGCCGCCTGACCGTTTCATCAAAAAGAAGAAGAAGAAGAAGAAGAAGAAGAAGAAGAAGAAGAAGAAGAGGCAGAAGATGATGATGATAAAGAAGAGGCTTAAGTGGTACAAACAAATTGCATTCATAGCGCAGGTGTCAGAACATGGTACCAAGACCAGTAAAATCATTCATGTTAATGTCCCTCGTCTTCCCAGTAAGCCCAAGATTGCAGAAACAATATCGGAATTCAGGATCTATGTCCAGGAGGCTTTTGAACGGCACGACAGGTATAAGCTCCAGTGTTGCAGCACCTTGAGGAGGCATAGATTCTTGTCCGCTGGCAGTATGCTTCCAATGCCCTATGATGAAGTTGCACAAATTGTAATCGATGGGCGTATGAATGAGTTTATCTGCTCACTGGCCGCTAATGATACGGCAGGTCAGCAGCAGCTCAAGGTGGTATCTGTTCTTGGATCTGGGTGTCTTGGTAAAACTACACTTGCCAATGTGTTGTATGAAAGAATTGAGATGCAATTCGAATGCAGAGCTTTCATCCGAGTGTCCAGAAAGCCTGATATGAAGAGACTTTTCAGTGACTTGTTCTCGCAACTCCACAAGAAGCAGCCACTACCTGCCAGCTGTAATGAGCTTGGCATCAGCGACAATACCAGCAAACATATGCAACATAAAAGGTACTGTTAACCCAGTTTCCTTATGCTATTTATTTTAGTTTATGTTAACCCAGCATATATCAATTTTACTGATGTGCCTGATGCAATACACACACACACACACACTAATGTGCGTGGATTCTTGGCATGCAGGTATCTAATTGTTATTGATGATTTGTGGGATGCATCAGTGTGGGATATTATTAAATATGCTTTTCCAAATGGAAACTGTGGCAGCAGAATAATAATAACTACACAGATCGAAGATGTTGCATTAACATGTTGCTGTGATCGTCCAGAGCATGTTTTCGAGATGAAACCTCTCGATGATGCTCACTCGAGAATGCTATTCTTTAACAGGCTTTTTGGTTCGGAAAATGACTGTCCAGCAGAATTCAAACAAGTTTCAAACGAAATTATTGATATATGTGGTGGTTTGCCACTAGCGACAATGAACATAGCTAGTCATTTGGCGAACCAGCAAACAGCAGTTTCACTGGATTTGCTTACATACATACGTGATTCGTTGAGATCCCATTTGTGGTCAAGTTCTACTTCAGAAAGAACGAGACAAGTACTAACACTCAGCTACAATAATCTCCCTCATTATCTGAAGACATGTTTGTTGTATCTTCACATGTATCCAGAGGGCTCCATAATCTGGAAGGATGATCTTTCGATGCAATGGGTAGCTGAAGCCTCCATCGTTACACAAAAAGGGAAAGGGCAATATCAAGACCGGTTGAAGAAAGCTGCAGGAATCTGTTTTGATGAACTTATTGATAGAAGATTCATCCAACCTTCATATATCAACTACAACAATGAGGTATTGTCCTGTACGGTCCATGATGTAGTACGTGAACTTATTGCACACAAGTCTGCAGAAGAGAATTTCATTGTGGTAGTAGACTACAATCGAAAGAATATAGCACTTTCCCATAAGGTTCGCCGACTATCTCTCATCTTTGGTGATGCAAAATATGCGAAGACACCAGAAAACATCACAAAGTCACAGGTTCGATCACTCAGATTTTTTGGATTATTCGACTGTATGCCTTGTATTAGAGATTTCAAGGTTCTTCGTGTCCTAAACCTTCAACTATCTGGTCATTGTGGCCTCCATGACCCCATAGACCTCACTGGGATTTCAGAGCTGTTTCAGCTAAGATATTTGAAGATTGCAAGTGATGTTTGCATAAAACTACCAAACCATATACGAGGGCTGCAATGTTTGGAAACGCTGGATGTTATGGATGCAACAAGAGTCACTGCTATTCCATGGGATATTATACATCTCCCACACTTGTTCCACCTGGCTCTTCCGGTTGACACAAATCTGCTAGGCACCATGACTGATTCCGTCGTCAGTCTGTGGAGCCTTTGCAAGCTGAACTACCTGCAAGATCTTTATCTTACCATTTCTTCTACACCTTGTTCTGGCCATCCGGAGAAAAACATGGATTCTGTAGGCTCTTTACTAGAAGGACATGGCAGCCTGAAAAATATAGTCGTGTCTCATGGCCCATCGGTTAAAGATATTGTGGTTCCCGGTGCCTCAAAAGTAATCATTTCCTGGGATGACTTGGAGCCTCCCCCTCTTCTCCAGAGATTTGAATGCTCGCCATGTTGGAATAACCACGACGTGCGTGGCACTGTGTCCGGCTCGTACACAGAAACAGTCACCGGGTAGGATTAGAAATAGAGACCGAGTAGGTTAGCTTCTAGTCTATCTTGAGCATATTTATATGCGTGTACCCCTACCCCTTGTACTATCGATTTGTGAAAGTAATACAGATCCAAACAGGCACGATACATGCCTGTGGCAAAACGCCGGCGTCTTCCATGTGCGTACGTATTGTGCATCAGCTAGGATAGATCAAGTCGATAGCTAGCTAGCTTACTGCTAGTACTAGTATATGTCCTATCAAAGAATCGATCAGGACAACTTGGTGCTAGCTTTGCACTGCGTTGCATCCGGCTAGAAGTAGCTTTGTTCGTCGTTCGTCATCGTCGGTCATCGCCTATCGCCGGAAAGTACTCGGCGACGTGGTCTGGGCCAACAATTGGTATCAGAGCAAGGTTGATCTTCTAGTAACGGGAGATCATGTCGGACGACGAGAAGGACAAGACCAAGCAGCTGGTGGAGTACTCCGGTGCAGCTAAAGTAATTGCTGCTCCGGCGAGTTCATCGTATCCACGGTTTGATCGCGAGAACTTCGGGGTCTGGAAGTCCCTCATGGAGTGTGGTCTCCGCGCCAACGAGCTATGGGACGCGGTGGATCCCGGAGGCGACGCGTTCAAGAAGGAGGGAACCGAGCACCGGAAGGATCGGCAGACGGCGTCAGCGATTTACTCCGTGATGCCGATGGATGTCCTCCAGCACCTAATCGCCAAAGCAACGGCGAAGGAGGTGTGGGATACGCTCAAGCTCATGTTCGAGGGACACACCCGCGTCAAGCAAGCCAATCTCCAAACTCTCCTAAGGAACTATGAGACTTTGGTCATGGGCGACAATGAGTCCGTGGATGCGTTCGCTTCACGGGTGGCTACTCTCGTCAATCGGATCCGTGCGCTTGGTGAAAACCTCACGGAGACCTCGGTTGTCCGGCGGTTCTTGCGCGCAGCCCCTCCCCGGTACCTGCAAATTGTCACGGCAATCGAGCAGTGCGTCGATCTCGCGACTCTCTCCATCGACGATCTTGTCGGACGGTACAAGGCTCATGATGAGCGTATGCGGTACAGTCTTGGGGACGGGAGGAACGACGAGCTTGTGATGCTCACGAAGGCGCAGTGGATCGCCCTAGAAAAGAGAGGCGGATCCATAAGCAGTAGCAAGAAGAAGGGGAAGCAGCGTTCGACGAGAAAGAACTTCGCTGACTCGGACGACGACTCAGACGATGAGGCTGCACCTGCACCACCGAGGAGGAAGTTTGACATCAGGAAAGTGAGGTGTTATAACTGTGGCCTCCTTGGTCACTTCAAGGCTGACTGCGAGGAAGCACCGAAGCAGAAGGCGCTCATGGCCCAGCAAGGTGACGACGGTGACATGATGTTGATGACTGAACTCGTGGATGAGGAGGATCCAGTTCTTCGAGCGCCGGCTAAAGAAATTGTCGCGCTCGTGGAAGAAAAGGTTTGCCATCATGATCATGATTTGGAAACTCGTGTCGAAGCTACAGATGCGGGAAGTAATTCCGAAACTTATGTCAGTGCTATGGACGTAAGTGCCAACTTTGCTGGAGCGGATGCAGCAATAGCTGCGTGTGCTGGACCATGGAGAAGTAATCTTTGTGCTGTTCAGAGGTCCGTAAGTGGCCACAAAAATAGCACTGGACATGGTGTCTCGCTGAGTAGGCCGAAAGCACCGGCCGCAGGCACCAAAGCTGGATCCCTTGTGCGGAGTAAGGGCGCCTCGCACCCAGCAGCGAGTGCTGCACAAGGAGCCTCCAAGACAGCTACGTGTGGTGGCCTAGCCACAAGAGAAGGCTCGCATGGTGGGCTACAAACAAGTCCAGCAGGAGGGCTTGGTGGCTCACGTGGTGAGCTAGGGCCATCTATACCTAGTGACGTTGCAAGTGATCCAGGAGATATGCAAGGTCCATTACCAGCGCATGTACGTACAGTTTTGCCATGCTTGGCCACTATAATGCAAGAAGATGGGAACGGCAAGGTAACGTCCGTACCCGGGGATGAAAGTCTAGCTTTGCCAAAAGCAATGTGCGAAGCAAACGGTGAGGAGTTACTCCTGAAGGTACAAGGAGCCATGCAAATAATGCTGTCTCCGAAGGCACAAGAGACGAGGACAACGCCTCCTACACCTGTTCTGCTATAACCGGTGTTACACCCATATTCGGAGAAGACTCTTCGGACGATTGACCCGGCAAAAGTGAAAGGGAGTGGGCGACGGTGTCTAGCAAACGCCGAGGAACCGGCGGAATTCAAGGGCGCAAATACGAAGGAATATTGGCGTCAGGCTATGGAAGAAGAGTTGAGGTCGATCCACGACAATAATGCATGGGTGCTTGTGGATCTTCCCAACAATGAAAAAGTCATGGATCTCAAGTGGGAATTTATGATCAAGAAAGATGCCGATGGGGCCGTGAACCACAAAGCAAGGCTAGTAGACAAAGAGTACATGCAAGAGGAAGGTGCGGACTTCGAAGAAGTGTTCGTTCCCGTTGCAAAGATGGAATCAGTGGAATTACTCATCGCTCTCGCGGTTCAGGAATCATGGAAAATACATCACATGGATGTAAAATCCGCGTTTTTGGATGGCGAGTTAGAAGGAGATGTGTATGTGAATCAGCCACCGGAATTCATCAAAGAAAGAGAGGAACACAAGGTACTGAAGCTACACAAAATCTTGTATGGGCTACGGCAAGGCTCTCGGGCGTGGAACATCAAACTTGATCAGACGATGATTTCTCTTGGATTTGAGAAAGCCCCACTAGAGCATGCGATGTACAAGAGAGGTGAAGGAAGGGATCGTCTACTAGTTGGCATCTATGTCGATGACCTATTGATAACTGGAGCAGATGAAGAGGTGATTGCAAAGTTCAAGCTACAGATGAAGGAGCTTTTCAAGATGGATGATCTAGGCCTTTTGAGTTGCAACCTCGGGACAGAGGTACATCAAAAGCCGGAGGGGATCACATTATGCCAGGAGGCATATGCAAGGAAGGTACTTGAAAGCCGTGGCATGAAAGATTGCAATCGCATTGTCGCTCCAATGGAACCTCGTCTTGAGCTGAGCAAGAAGAGCAAAGTATCCGCAGTTGATGCAATAGAGTATATTGCAGCTACCACTGCGGTGTGCCAAAGTGTGTGGCTAGAGAGGCTACACGGTGATCTCATGGATCAAGGTCCGAAACGAGTGGTGCTCAACGTTGATGGAAAGTCTACAACTTTTCTATGCGAAGAACCAGTGCGGCGTGATAGGAGTAAGCACATTGATACGGTGTATCACTACATAAAGGATTGCGTGGAAGAAGGTAAGACGAAGGTCAACTACGGTTGCACCGATGATCAGCTGGCAGACATCCTAACCAAGGCTTGGGTCAGCATCGAGCTGTGACATGACGACGTCGTGTTTAGGGGGGTGATTGTTGGAATAACCACGACGTGCGTGGCACTGTGTCCGGCTCGTACACAGAAACAGTCACCGGGTAGGATTAGAAGTAGAGACCGAGTAGGTTAGCTTCTAGTCTATCTTGAGCATATTTATATGCGTGTACCCCTACCCCTTGTACTATCGATTTGTGAAAGTAATACAGATCCAAACAGGCACGATACGTGCCTGTGGCAAAACGCCGGCGTCTTCCGTGTGCGTACGTATTGTGCATCAGCTAGGATAGATCAAGTCGATAGCTAGCTAGCTTACTGCTAGTACTAGTATATGTCCTATCAAAGAATCGATCAGGACAACTTGGTGCTAGCTTTGCACTGCGTTGCATCCGGCTAGAAGTAGCTTTGTTCGTCGTTCGTCATCGTCGGTCATCGCCTATCGCCGGAAAGTACTCGGCGACGTGGTCTGGGCCAACACGCCACACAGCTGCGTCATATTTTCCCAAATTCCTAAATGGCTTAAAGAACTTGGTAACCTGTGCATTCTGAAGATGGCAGTAATGGAACTGCAGATGAGTTCTGTTGATATTCTCAGAGGATTGCCTGCCCTCATTGATCTGTCGCTGTATGTGCAGTGGGCACCAGGTGAAAGGATCATCTTTGACAAGGCGGCCGGGTTCTCAGTTCTCAAGTACTTCAAATTGAGGTGCACAAGTGGTATCCCGTGGCTAAAATTTGAGGCGGATGCAATGCCTAATCTCTGGAAGCTCACGCTAGGTTTCAATGCCATTCCCCGAATGGACCAACATCAACTAATCCGCATCGAGCATATGCCAGACCTTAAAGAGATCTCCGTAAAATTTGGGGGTGCAGCTGCTCATATAGAGTATGCCGTGAGGTCTGTCGTTAGTAATCATCCAAGAAATCCTACAATCAACATGCAATTGGTGAATTCTAGTTCCTATGGTGATGAAAGCACAGAACAGAGCCTTCCAATAAACTGGGCTCCCGAGTCATGTGCGGCCGATGCGGTTGCTGATGTGGAGCCACTCCGTCGCCTCTCTGACAACCTCGCCACAGCCTTCCACTCACCGGATGACTTCGCCTTCCTTGCCGATATGTGCATTGCCGTGCCCGGCGCGCCCGACCTGCACGTGCACCGCTACATGCTCTCTGTGCGGAGTCCCTTCCTCCGCGCATTCTTCGCACGCCGCGCCTCTGTGGAGGGCAACAGGTTGGAACTCTGGGAACTTCTGGGCGAGAAGGTGGAGGTCGGGTATGAGGCACTGCAGCTAGTGCTCGAGTACCTGTACAGCGCCCGCTTCCATGTCCTTCCCAGGCCAGCATGTGTCTGCGTCGACATGGATGGTTGCGCGCACGTCAGCTGCCACCCCGTCATCTCCTTCATGGCGCAGGTCCTCTTTGTTACATTCACCTTCCAGATCACCGAGCTCACCAACTACTTCCAGGTTCATATCAGATGACTATTATGCTTGCTGGGATGCGTATTGCTAAGACGTTTTAATGCTATATATGGATCCCCATCATATCTTTTAACCTGAAATTCTTTAATTTCAATGCTTTTACAAAGTAGTGATAAAGCATTACGTCCGTGCTGAATTTAATTGTATTCGTTAAATTGGTGAAGTTCAAACGGGTGCTAGGACATGCTGAGTTGTTTGGAGATCCCTACCAGGGTGCAATTTCCACTTATTAGGTTCAACAATCAAGACTCCTTTCTTACTCGGTTTGATGTAGGAGTGGAAATAAATTGAGTTGTCTGTGCATGTGGTATAGTGTGTTCAATATGCAAATGATGCAATTGGTAGTTCTAAGGTGCTGTGTCATTTTGTTGATATTTCAGGGATTCTTGTTTTGATTTTGTTTAGAGAAAGGGAAGGGTAACTGTTCAAAGCATGAAAATTACATGCACCCAGGCGTATTTGAAGACAAAAACTGTTCAAAGTGTTGTACATGTGCCTACTCTTTTTTGTTGCATCAACAAAAGGCAGTTCATGAAAAACATGCTTGGGTCATTTTATACAAATCTAGGCTCCATGAATGTGGACAGCTGATACATGCACAACAAAAACCAAAGCATATAAATGAAATATCACAGCGGACAATAATTATAATAGCACCTATGATTCCTTAGGA